ATCACCTCACTCATAGCTTGAGTTTTGACACTATGATATTGTACAATAATCCTGGCTGGTAAACAGACTTTCTTTGTAAGGCTGAGCAGGAAAAAATATCTGCTTTCTGGTCCTTTTTCCATTCTGTGGGCAGAAAGGCGTGTGATCTGCTTTCTAGATATATTAATTGGACACGTGGCCTCAGTGACAGGCAGTGCTGTCTATGCCATCTCAAATCCAGGCAAAATCTGCTGTGGTCTTGCTCAGGAGGTTAACATGACTGATGTGATGAGGTGGGGGTCTTTCTGACATTGAAACCAGTGATTAAAACCGAGAACAGGCATCTCTGAGGGCAGAAGGTGAGAGTGGGTGACTTCCAGAGGCTACTCCAGTCAGTCAACCACAAGACTTAAAACCATGTGAGTACTCATTGCTACAAGCAGAGCACATCATGTCTCAAGAAGGTACAATGTTTTATCGAGCTTCTAAGCCACTTGATATATTTAAATTCCCAGTGCAAAGCTCTATCTCTTTTGTTGCACATTTCTGCCTTCAGGAAAGTTTCCTCTCGGCTTAATTTGCTTTATCAAAGTGAAACATGCACACAAACAGAAACATGCAGAGGTAATTCATATGAAAGTGCATCAACATTTCTACATCCAGAGGCATTTGCATTAGAAGGGCAACACTGCTTTGAAAGCTGGTATAAAATGAACACGTCTTCCTACAGGATATTCCCAGTATGCATCTATACAAATTGCATTTGTTTGCAACAGAAATAATCTAGACTCTTTTATGCTCCTATTGCTACTACAGAACCATAGAATAAAACAGTCTGGATTACTTCTTTGCTGATTAATGAATTTCAAAATTTAGACACAGAATGATTTTCTTTAAAAAAGTGTAAAAACAAATATTTTCATATTTTCATCTTTCCACATTTTTAAGATGAGTAATTCAACAGAGTCTAAACAGATTAATGAGGACAGCTGTTCCTCTCATGTCTATTTTTCACATTTAGAAATACCAAGCTACAATAAACCAGGCTGTAGAATAATCAAAACATAAACTGAAAAAGCCATTAAATATTTTATGGCCCAGGGTGGGATAATTACAGAACCACAGAATTGCAGGGGTTGGAAGGGACCTCAAGAGATCATCGAGTCCAACCCCCCTAATTCCTGTATGTTGGTCAGCAGTCTGCCCTTTGTATCATCAGGAGTCTTTTGGACCCCTCTGAATGGATGCTCCTTTTTCTCTGAGCATGGAGCCCAGTACTTTGCATCATTCTTTTGCCAAATTCTTAGCTCTGGTGGATATGGAAGCATGATAAATCAAGCTATTTTTCCTACATCCAGGTCTGTTTCTGGGTACCACTCAGTAAGCCTCATCTCTTGGGTACCAACAAAATCTTCCCCTTTTTGATCACCTCTGGGTCATCCTGATGCCGCTGAAGGCAGGTCACTATTCAGTTTAATGCTATATAAACATATTATTATGTTTCCATGAATGTATTTATTAACATCTTTTTGCACTGCAGATTACAGATAAACCAACAATTTATCCCATCTTTAGACTACAACTGACTCTTGCTGATTGATTTTAACCAGTGAAAAGTTATTTGTCTCACATACTAATGCCTATCCTGTCCAGACAAAGTCATTTATTGCTAAGAAAGTGCAATATATTACACTCTTTGCTTCTGTTTTTTCCTTCTTTATATGGATATATATAAAGTGCTGTGATCTTTTGAATCTGCATTCTGTTCCACTGTGTTCTTGCAGTCTCTCCCAGAATTTTATTCACTCATTTAATGAATACAATCTTTTTACTCCTTTGGATTGCTCAGGTCATAAAACAATAAGAACAGCATCCTAATGAATGCATGATATATCTTTGTATTTGATACAGTAATTTTGAAAACTACTCCTTTGGAATGATATGGAGTGTCATTGTTCCCAGTCCATAATACTGACTAAGCCCTGATTGTCCTGAATTCCATATGAAATTGTCATGAGCAACTGTTAGAAGTTTTGAAGATGCCACTGTGTATCTCATCAACTTTTTTCTTCCCTAGACACAGAGTGCACAAGAAAGTTAGACTTTCTTAATATGATTTCCACTTGATAAATCAACACTGGTGGTTACTCATCTTTTTGCAATTACGATGACAGAAGTTTAATTGTCATGTTTTATTCCAAAGGGATACAAGCCCCCAAGGAGCACATATTGTATTTTCAAAAGCTGCTTGAGAACAGAAATCCTTTGGACTTCTGGAAAGAAATGAGAGATGATGAATATGGCATGCAGATGAATTCTGAACACATCAGGAGAGGGAAAGCATAGGAAGTATATGTGAATGGGAACAATCTTAAGCCTTGGTATTCAGCAAACATTGCTCTTGGAATAACTGCTGCTTGGAGCCACAGAGGTCTCACTGCCTTGTTTGGTTTCTAGGTACTAGTAAATTAAGTGCCTGTTCTTTCAAAAAACAAGGCTGAAGATATGTTAACAATGCAATTTGAGGGAGCTTCTGTATATAATTCCAGAGAAATTATACCACCAAATAAAATAAGCTGTCTGGGATATCAATAGGAGGTCTGTATTGCTTAGGATGCTCAGGAGGACTTTGCAAGTTCTAATGAAAACTACTGAAGTAACACTGGAGGAAGCTGATTTGATATGTTGGATGTGTTTACAGGAGTTATCATCATGCCTTTGAACTGCAGTGTAGATATAACATAAATCAAGATTCTTCACTTGTGTCCTTCTTGCTTTGCAGTGGAAGACCAAGTATTTTCCCTCTATATTTTTTCAGATAAGTAATATACATCTGCAGCAACACCTCAATTACCTTGTCATGCCCTAAATCTGCCATGGCAGGTTAGCCAGAATGACATTTAAGCCTAGACTGACTACAACAAATTAAATGACCTCAAGTATTCACTACCTTCTCTCCAGATGATATTCTAGCTTTCCTAGGCCAATATTCTGACCCAATCCCAGTCTCAGATTGTCTTTTTTCTTAGGATTGTCTTGACCCTTACTTCCTTCCTTCCTTCCTTCCTTCCTTCCTTCCTTCCTTCCTTCCTTCCTTCCTTCCTTCCTTCCTTCCTTCCTTCCTTCCTTCCTTCCTTCCTCCCTTCCTCCCTTCCTCCCTTCCTCCCTTCCTCCCTTCCT